TATGCCAGAGAGCAGCGACTGGAACAGCAGAGACGACACGAGGATCAGATCAAGTCCATGGAGAACTATTATAAAGATCAGGTAAGATGCAGCTTTCTGCCATTTCAAAATAAAGGCGACGACACACCCGTTCCAGGTGAAGTCGGTGACGTGCTGTCTCTCTTTCAGTTTTCACTGCTAGCTGAAAAACTTGCACAAGAGCGGCAGGACATCCAGGTTCGGAAAAAAGCTCAAGAAAAGGTAATTTATATACTTGTTACTGCTGCTTATTGTTAATTTAAATATTTGTTAGAAAGTAGGAAAATAAAATGTTCAAATTGCACCTGATCCCGTCAAAACGCATTAAAGAAATCAATGTAATTTGCTATACGGTCCAGCAGAGGGCACCCTTTAAACTCACCTGCATGCTCTGCAGGTAGAGAATGCAGTACCGCAGCAATTGTCCAGAAATCCAAACAAATAGTTGTCAAAACCAGGCAGCAGCATCAACTGTACATCTTTTTTTTTTTTGCACACCCAGTTTCTCACAACCATAAAAAGCATTTGTATAAAAGGAAATGCAGCGATTTGAAATTATTTTTGGTAGAAGTTTTTCAGGATGAAGCCAGAACTGGGTCCCAGCTGTAGGACATCCAAGAGGGAATTGTATAAACTGTGTAGAGTTTTTATGTGATTTCATGTGAATCCACAGATTTTCCTGTGCATGGTATGCAGCATATCAAAACTAAATATATTACACTGAATTTTCTCAGTCCACTCTTAGAGATCCTCATAAACCACAGTTCTTTGCTGTTGCACTGTAGTCATGGAAACCGCAGGACAAACACCATACACAGTTTATATGCCAGAAAACACAAATGATCAATCATTTAAATAATTTAAAGATTTACAGTTTATTTTCTTTCTTTTTTTTCCCCGCAGGCACTGCTGAAGATGAAGCGAGAGCTGCGTTCCAGGATGGAGCGTGAAATCGGCGAATTGCAAAGAATCATAATCCAGAACGACGAGGACGACTACTTCCAGGAGCTGGAGATCCAGAGGCTGCGTAATCGGGTTCGGATGGCCTCCTTCCAGTACAACACTAGCTATCTGCACTGACCAAGGAAGACTCGGGTCTGACTGGTTTGAATCAAAGGACTTTCTGCCATTCACAGCCAATGGTACGAGAATCCGATGAAGAGTACGATCTACTAAGGCGTCCTCCTTCAGAGCTTTGCACAAGAAAAAGGATTTTCTCTTTGTAAGAACTTGTTCATGTGCTGATTATTGATTACTGATGAACTGAACACACTCTGACTAAATGTAGCTATTGGCTAGTTTGGCTAGCTCTTCCTCTCTCACCTCAGCTGCTGATCTTAAAAAGACACCTTGGACCCTTTCTGGGTGGGTTTTTGGTACTTGATAACTAAGAATGTTTTAACTCCCTCACTGTGCAGTCTTTGTGTTGTTAATGTAGCAAAAAACCTAGCAATGTTCTTCCTCTTGCCAAATAAGGACCACAGATGCAAAGTTAAGTATGAACGTCACAGACTGACGACTCTTAACATTTTTCCTTTTATGTGCAACATCTTCCTTAATATTTTAACCATGCCAGTGGATTATTTATTTTTTAACTTTAATGTTTGGATTTTAATTAACCTGGTTTGCTTTCTCATCACCGGGGTAGCGATAATCAGTCTTTAATGATCCTTTATTTTCCTCAGCTCCATTGTGATTGTTTTTTTGTTTTTTTTACCTCAGCTGAACTTGAAAGCTTTGGACTGATGCACAAAGGTTTCCTCCATTAAAAACACCGTCTACTGACACTGTATCGTTTCTATGAGCACACACACAACGACTGTCAGCACCTATTAAATGTGTGAGTGTGACTTGAATGATACATAGATGCCTAATACAGTCAACTGAATGATCATAAACATACTGTGAAGGATGAAAGTTGCTGTTTTAAACCTGAGGTAAGATTTATTTATTTATTTTTTTGGCTAAAGTGAAGAGGAGACGTGGCTCAGGACGTAGACTAGGTCATATATTAATTTGAAAGTCAGCAGTTCAAGTCATCCAGGGGCAACCTCTAGACTTCAATCCCCATGTTAAGATGGACGGCATTAGAGCATTAACCTCTTGAAAGCCTACCAGGAGTAACCCTTGATGATCTTTTCTAAAATGAATGGTTTGTCGTGTTTCAGGCCTGTTACATGACTGGATGTGCATCAGAAGTTAGTGGGGGTGGTCTCTGCCTATGTAGCTATTCTTGGAAAACTACAACCACGACCACGAAAATAGTTTCCAAACTCTGACTTTATTGATACGTGCTGAGGTTAATTGTTTGATCTCTGGGTAGTTTCCCCCTTCATAACAACTCTGAGTGAGGTGGTGTGTTTTTAAATAACTCATCCACCCGTGTAATTCGGTTAGGGGTGTTGGCACATTAACTGTCAGGTGTACTAGGCTCCATCAACGTTTGTGAGATTGATCAGCAAAAGCATTTAAAATCTCTGAGTGCTCTGTGGGAGTGGGCAAGTGCCATTAAACTACCAGTCCATTTACCATGGCATGCAGAGGAAAACTGGGAAATCTAGAGGCCTTTGGATATATTATCTCCTTCCTGTCTGCCCTTAGTTTGCATAATGATTTCCAGTCATTATGCAAACTAGTCTGGGTTAACTTGAAAAGTTTTTTTTTTTTTTAAAAAGGCATTGCCACTGATGGGTAACCAGGCAGCAGTCAAACTAAAATCATCACCTTTGACAGGGAAACTTGCTACTAATCACACTGCTTGTAGCCATTGCCAGATTTTGGATTTGTGGATACTTATAAAGCAGTGGGGTACACGCCCCCCCATTAAATTCACAGTTAATCGTACATCTTTAATAGCTATAAACAGACATAGAACTTCTCATTTTGATAACACCTTCCATACAAGGTAATAATCTTAAGCCCTCAGAGTATCTGAGGGCTGGTTATCGCCTCCAGTCATCTGTTGCCAAGTAGAATAAAATGCAACAGGTTTGCAACAAGAAGCTGGAAACATTTGGGCCTCTGCTCAGGCCTATTCCTAGATTATATGTATTATATGTACTGTAAGCATGCATTGCAGTTATCCTTCTATGTTCTAGTTTCCCTCAGCATGTATCACCTGGACAGTCACGCCAGTGAAGCTTAAAACCCTTAATGAACCGAACATCAACTCAAAATGAGCACAGATATGCAATGTGTATAAAATACTTCCAACCGTACTTGTAATAAAAGTTAACATAATGGAAGGATCCTCAAATGGACATCTTCAATAAACAACTGTAATGCAGTATCAATACTGTGAGAAATATTATTAGATGAAATAATGCTGTAAAGCATAGGTGTCAAACTCTGGCCCGCGAAGCCATACCAAATTATTATTAGAGCTGGCCTACTGGTATCATACAGCTAATATATCTATTTTTTAGTATTAAGCTTTGCTTGTTCCATATTCAGTTTTTCAGCAAAACTTGTTTGAGTCCATAAGAAGAGATTCATTCATAAATCTGGAGGAAGATTTTTTTTTACAATAAATATTGATGTTAGCCCGCGACCTTGTTCCAGTTTTGAATTTTGACTCACTGTGTATTTGAGTTTGACACCCCTGCTGTAAAGAATGTTATTAATGCAATTATGATGCAGATTATATGGCAGCAATAAAAGAATTTCTGTATCTCCACACAGTCCACTCTCCCTGCAGCACGGACTACACTGCCTATGATGCTACATTCTTTAGAGCTATACCTGTAGCATTCTGCCTATTAGCTGACAACGACAACAACAACTCCTCACCGAGGAAACACGCAGAGACAGAGCGTCACCCTGTAACCATGGCAACCGTAACGCTGCCGCCTGGAACAGAACGTAGTCGTCAAAAAACCCAAACAGGCCTGGCCCGCCACAATATGAAACAGGGAAGTACCGCCGTGTAATCCATTTATTTCCATCTGCGTCTGCGGAACAGCCAACAGGAAATCAGTCCCTCTGAAATAGGCACCTGATTGGCTAAAACCTTTCCTAGCCCAGTATGCGGAAATGTTCGGTAGTGTTTATGTTTTTTGGTTCAAGGTACCCGAATCCAAACGGTTAATGCCAGCTGACGGTAACTACTAACTAAAAGCCTACCCCACCTGTAGAGCATTGATCGGATCAGTGGTTAACTGTGCAACCCCTCATTTCTTTTATTTACGTAATTTCCTCAGGGATAAAGAAAGTATTCCGATCCTGCTTTTTTTTTTTCTTTTTTTTTTTTTGAAAGCAGAAAATATTTGCAGCAAAAATAGTTTGTGCTATTGTAATGAGCTCGAAAGTCAATATTTGGTACGATCACCTTTATTCTTCAACACAGCCTTCAGGATAATCAGTAATAATTCTCCGGGATTCTTAAAGTACATTCAAAATTCTTATTTGTTTTCCTTTTGTTCCACTCTTTGAGAGACAACCCCGCTCTGCTCTGATGAGGCTTTAGTGAACTGAAGGGTCAGACGCATCTCTGAGATCCTGCTTCAGATATTTGCTATTAAATGATATTTGTGTTAAATGAATTTAGAATACTGTTCATCTGGTGTAGGTAACTTTTAGGCCCAGCACTTCTTTTGTCCTCCATTTGTCAAATTTATTTAAAAAAATAAATAAATTAGAATAAAATTAACTCTTTGGGAATCGTATTTAATGCCTGTCAGACTGTGCACTTTGCCTTTTTGTTGCGTTGTTTAAAATTTGAAAGACGATATGAAAAAACGACAGACCAATGTTGTCTAAGATAATTTTCAACACAGCACCAAATATGTAGATTTTCTGAAGGCCCTACCTGTGTCACCCCCCTGTGAAACTCACCCTGTACGTATTCACTTAAATCCTACTTAATAAGCAGATTATTACATGACCAGAAAAACCATCACTCAAAAAAAATAAATAAAAAATTACAGCTACAACAATAGATAAAAACCACAGTAACAGCCATAATTCTATAAAACATAATGCTGTTAGGTCCAAACAGCACAGTTTTATTGCTCAGCTTTCTGCAAGGGTACAAGAAGTTTATAACTTTGCTTCTTTATTGTCTTTATGTACAGGTGTCAGTTACAAACTCACAGAGCAGCTGATGTTAAAAACTATGCAAACATATACTGTAATAATAAATACAAAAACAGGATTCAAAAGGAAACATGGTGCATTAAAAAAAAAAAAGTTCTTTTTTTGTACTGAATTCCACCAAAAATCATTAACTCGCTCACACACACACAGGAATTAAAGGGGAGAGGAGTCTGCCGAACACTAACTTGTTGTGGTTTTTAAACCAGCTGATTTTTTTTAAGTGCACAATATCAACCAGAATCAGATTTAAGTTTGCACTTTTATAAATCGCAGATGTTGCTTCAGAAGGTTAACAATCATCTGTAAAACTGTTCAGACGGTCTGATTAATTTGGCTGCTTAACAGGAGGGAGAGAGCATTTTCACCTCGTCTGGAAGCACTCAGCCCCGACAGCTTTTGTACGGAAGACCAAACCGTCCGGAAAAAGCAAAGGCGGCAACAAAGACCAGATGCGGACTTTGTGCACTGAACAAACATACTTGTGAGTCTATATATGTCATCTACATAAAGAAAAATATTTAGTCCAATAACTATTTGGTAAATAGAAGGAAGTGTTGGATTATAACTTGGAGTCCAAGTATGCATAATGTGTGCAAAAAAACAAAAAAACCCATAAACTTGTAATGCATTTTCCAGTAAAATTATCAAAGATAAAAATCAGTGAATATATCTGTAACTAGACAAAGACCACAATTTCAATGTACTCACTTTTATTTGTTTTGTCTCGTGATGAACAAAAATAGAATTATTTTAAAAAAAAAGAAAAAAAGAAGGTTTACGATGCGAGGGGTGTCTGCTAATAAACCACCGATGGCTGCAAGTAAATGCAGATTACATATAACAACAACAATAAAATTTAAAAAAAGAAAAAGAAAAAAAAGTAAAGAACATTTATTAGATTCTTTCCAAGTCAAAAAGTTTGCTAATAGGAAAATTTATGCAAATAAATATCCTTTAATCTCAAGCATCCATTCATGCAGTGTGTGGTTTTTGTTTGCCTGTTTTCTTTTTGGATGGATGGAGGCTTTGCTGATGGAGATGCTTCTCGCTGTCGCCTCTAGTATTTCAGTGACTTTTCATTTTGGTTAAACATTTTCACCATGTAGCACCCAGGAGCTCAGCAGCAGTGAAACTCCAGCATTTGCAGCTCTTAAGATCACAGAAACAAAAAACAGAAAAACAATGAATGTCGCCGAACAGATCGCTCCTGCAACGTGTGAAATCACACCGCTGTCTGTGCTACCAGACCTCCAGAGCAGCAACTGTGGTCTCCTGTGACAACGTATGTTTGTTAAGAAGTGACGGTGAAAGACCACAAGAAAACGTCACTTTAAACTGCTAGGTTTACACTAATAAAGGTTTAAAGAAAGGGCCCCCATATACAGTTGTATCCCCTCCTCACATACTAGCCTAATGTAAAATTTAAAAAAAAATAATTAAAAAATAAAGGACAACTTCACCTGAGAATGCAAAGAGGTCTGTGACAGACATCAACATGCTTGCATTTAAACTGAACAGAAAGAACAAGCAACAATATACAAAATAGCTATGTATTTGTACATATATACTTAAAAATTACAGGTGTATAAGATACTTTTTACTCTATTTCAAATGTAGTTGTATAGCAAATGAAACGTGATATATTTCAATCTAATGTGAAGAAAGCACTCCTGCCATTACCGCTCAGTTTGTAAAGTGCTCTAAAGTGACGCGAGAACGAGAGAACGAGAGAGAGGAATACTTCTGCCTGTTTAAACTGATGATGTGACTGTTAACGAGCAACTGCCCTCAACAGCTTTTCGCCGAGCCTCATCCCGTGGACAGATGTGCTCTTTTCACATATGCTTTGACATTAAGTGGGCTGAGGCAAGCTTGTCCGGACAGAAAAAAAACAGAAGAAAGAAATAGGCATGCTGCTGGAGACAAACGTGTGAACGAGAGCAGGGAGAAAAAGAAAGGTGAACCGGAGATGAAGGGCGACTGCGACATGGCTACTTTTCCTTGTACACATGCAGAAACACACAGACAAGCATCATTACACGACTGCAGCGATTTACGGAGAAAACATGATTGAGAATCCTTCACCGCCAGAGTTCGACCCTCGAAAACGCCACGAAACACGAGGACCTACGCCCGAATCATCTGTGACAAGTTCCACTTCAAAATGACACGAAATGACCTAACAGGTACAAAATTACTGCTGGTGCGAAAAATCTAACTAATTATGGCCCACAGATGATCTTTTCTGACTCTTAACTGCCTAAATTATGACCTTTAGCATTTTGAAATGAAACCCTATCGATATCGAAGCAGGACATCGAGGTAGGATGAAGTCGTGACACTCCTACGAGATCAGGAGCAACAGCTCCACGAGGATCGGAAGGTGTTATATATGCTGAGGTTAAGATGGCTACTATGGTTTAAAAAAAAAAAAAAAAATGTATATGGCTACCTGCAGTATTAAAGATTCAGTAGCATGACATGCATCAGTCAGTAAAAACAGCAAAATAAAGAAACAAAGACTAATGGTTGCTAAATGTCTGGGGGGAATTTTCTAAGATGCTGACGATGACAGAGGGAGGACTCTATAGCAGCTGTTCAAACGCATCGATAAGGGAAGAGTGTGGACCGTGGTGGTGAGAGAAGAGGAAGACTGTAGGCTGGACACGCGCATCAGGCTCCGAGCGAACCTGTTGGCGCGTCACAGTGTCAGAAATAGTCACTATAGTCCTGCACAGTTACACTCGTTCATACACAAAAACACTCTACAAGATGGCTCTCATTCCACTGCGAAGCCACACGTCTCCTCGATTGCCGTCAGTAGCTTGTCGTACAGTTTATCATAGCTCTCGTAGGGCGGAATGTCGATCCGGTTAAAGCTGGAGAAAGAGGAAAACAAAAGAGGATTTGGACATGTGCTGTGAAAAAGGATCATTTTCTACTCCAAAAATATTTAAGTTTTTGTTCCTGTTAAATGTGTAACACATGGATCAGTCCTGGAGATACACGTCACACATACCAGGTATGGGCTTTGGGCAAGTTATTGGTGTTGGCATCAATCTGATGAATGGTGAAGAGTCTGGGCCCTGCAGCGCCTGCAATCAGAGCACGAACAGGATCCATCACCAACATAAAAGTGAACTTGTTATGCTGGTGAAGATACAAATACTGCAATGTATGTAAAAATAATGCCTGTGAGCAAAAGCTCTGGATTTAGACCGTTGCAAAGACCTAATTTCATAATTTTCCCCACAACTCTTAGATTTAAAAAAACAAAACAAAAAAACAAAACAAAAAACTGATAACCTGATAATGGCCATGGCAGGCACAACGATTTGACAGCAAACACAGTCGCTACTCCCACCTGCTGTGCAAACCTTCTGTTTGTGAGAGTCAGCCAATCAGAAGAAAGTTGGCTTAAATTAAGAGGTTTGCTTTAGACAGCAGATGAAGACAAATAATGATCCCAGAGTACAAGAAAATGTAAATATATGAAGCTGCACATGAACATGAAGTCCTACTCACTTTTTAATTTCAAAGAAAACTGAAGGAATTGCCCATTTGTTATATGGAGGGAAAGCAGAAGCAATATTTAAAAGTGGGGTTCTACCTTTTTGTGGGTTCACAAAATAATTTAGAGCTGCAGGCAGAGGCCTGCTGGGAACACACACACAGACACACACACACAGTCGGGTTAAGTACCCTGTAAAGCCTTGAAGCCTTGCAGCGGGACTCTAGATGAGCCAGTAACAAACTGCAGTAATCGGGCCCTCCTCTCCTCGTCAAACGACTCCACGGCTTTCCAAAACCACTTGACAATGTTGGTGTCAGGGGTGCAATGCTTCAGGCGGGTGTTTGACTTCCAGTCGGCGATGTCTATCTTTCCCAGGCCGCACACAATCAGCTGAAAGAAGAGACACTTTTACATCATCCTGGAATTTGTTACAATACCTGAGTGGGTATAGAACCCATCAATATAAATGCAACATGACGATCTTTATGTTTTACAAGAGGTGCTGCTGTCATCTAATGTACCTCTAGTTCCTTCTCGTCAAAGGATTTGAGCAGATGTTGTGGGATAACCTCATTGAAGCCTTTCTGCAGGGCCAGAAACTGAGCCTCAATGCCATGAAGGAAACGCCAGTTCACATACAACCTGCATAGAGCATGAGAGAGCAGAGGAAACAGAGGGTTATCATCAGACAATGATGCAGAGAAATGTAAAAGAGGAGAGCTTGCATGGGCTCAAATTAAACTCGGCTACATGCTGCACATTGTTGTCTTTGGGTTTCTTTTAGTCCATACCTCACATATTCTTTCTTGGTGTCTTCTGTCACAGAGATACTCTTCCCGTTGGGTTTGAGTTCATGTGGGATGATTTCTCCATAAGCATTGTGCTCCACACAGAAAGTGTGGTCCAGGACACCAGTGATGTCATTGTCCCTGAGCAGACAGGGAGACAGAAAATACAGGATGTAGAGTGATAAGTACAAGCTCATTGATTCTGATTTCTTTATCTTTCAGTATTTGTTCCACAGTCACTAAATTAAGAAAATTATATTCTCAGGGTGTTTTGTTGGGGCCATTTGTTATGTCATGTTAATGTAAAGGTTTTTGTTTTTTGTTTTGCTTTTTTTTTTTGTTTTTTTTTTTTTTTGGGGGGGGGGGGGGGGTTCTCCAGTGTTCACCTTTACATGATCAGCAATGTCTGAGTAAGAAACAGAACCAACTGCTTCACCAAAACAAAGCTGTTTACCATTAATCAGGCTAAAACAGAGGCACACAGGCCAACACAATTTTTTAAAGCTGCGGGTGAAGGAGTAAAATGGGCTGTTCGTTTTTGACGTCGGATGTTGCGCTCATGGGGCAGCAGGGGGCAGTGCAGTCATAAGAAATGGTTTGGTTGAGGACGAAATGATCAGGTTTTTGTGGGTATCTGAATAAGCGGTGCTCTGAGCTTTGTTTTAATTCATTTTAGTTTATGCAGACATGTTTCCCCCCTGCATGCGTGAAACACCTGAAAGAAAAAGTCTATACTATGATTTCAACTTTGTGTTGTCAGCGTTTAGAAAACAGATTAAAAGAATGATGTGAAAACAACAGGACTCACAAAATCCAGACGAGGCTGTTGTGTAGGTCTGGATCGACGGATTCCATATCATCCAGCGTGATCGGTTTTCCTAGCAGCTGTTTGTAGAAGGGCAGAGTGAAGCCTCCGTCAATGTAGTGGCCGTGAAACACTGCCATGCCCATGATGCGACCCACAAAGTGGAAGTATGACAGGTGCTCCTGCAGATTAAAACACAGAATAGTAATAAAGTGAGATTTCTTCCATAGCTTATCACATTCAGCTCAACATTAAGCTGAAGCCAATGGTGAAAACCCAGGAGAGGAAATAATTCACTAGTTCAAGGCTTACAGAACTGAAGCTTGATCATTTAAAGGTGAAGTTGTTCTACCTACCAACCCTATTTCATGTTTTTGCCTGCAGCAATTAGCCGTTTACATACATTATCACATGTCTTATCAAATATTATGACTATTAAACCAAAGAATTCCTACTGGGTTGACAGCAGAGTCCGGGTTAATCTGTAGAGTGTAGATATCATCTCTAGAGTACTGGAACAGGCCGTAGTAAGGGTTCAGCATCTCGTGGGACAGCAGGTACAACCACTCCCTAACACAAATACGGGTTCAGTGTGAAAATGTAATACAAAATAACACTAACAAGCATAAATCAACGTTTAATGATATTTCAAGTAGAGGAAAATAAAACGCATGGGACATGTTACCTTGCTACCCCGCCATAATCCAGCCCCTCTTCTCCTCTAAACTTGATCATGAGTCTCTTCCAAAGATCTTTCGGCCGCATCTTCATCACCTGCCGGTACGACTCCTACGAGTCAGCAAATTTAACATGCAGGTCAGTAAAAGACGACACCCTTCAGTATCACATTTCTATGCAATATGACTTAAACAGTGGCACTGCTATCTTTGCTGAATGGAAATACACCAACTTTGCAACTTTGGTTGGGTAGGTGTATTACCTGCTGCGCAAACACACCAAAGACTGTAAAGGAAACCAACTCACACCTTCAGAGTCGTGATGTGTGAAATAAATCAGAACAACCAGTACAGTTTGTCACTGTGCCAAGCGCGCTCAAACTCCACGGTCAAAGTTGAATAAGTTTGGCCACCATCAGTGAATTTGACCTATTAATGAAAACTACCCGACCTGGTAATATAAAGGGAAGGAAGAAAGTTGATCATTTGTGTTTGAATTCAGTAAATTACAACAACACAGGTTGTTGTCTGCATGTGTCCTTTTTGTTTACAGGTTTCTATTCAAACAGACACGTCGGGTGTGTTTTAACAGGCAGGTAGCTTGCTGTAAACGTCGCCTTCCTCTTAGGGATTCATAGTTTTGGTGATGAGGAAATGAGCGAAACTATTACAGAATATTTTGCTGGACTCCCACTCCAAGTTTTCGAAACTTCAAAGCTCTGCAGTCCTGAGTCAAAGTTTCTATAATCAGACCAGACATGAGAATATTCATTCATGTGCAGCCTAAAATACTACAGAATTACTACCATCATTAAATACTACTATTAAGATATTGCTTTAAAACAAACAAAAACCTAAATCCTCATCATCATACGGATCCTGTACAATTAAAAAAAGGTTTTGCTTATCAAGATCAGTCCTCTAACACGAGTCCAGACGCTCAAAGGCCACCCTGCAGTAAACAATCTCCTGCCACAGCAACGGCACTGCCGCAGCTGTGAAAACATGACAGATCTAGGCTGCACTGAGTCAGCTGCAAGATTAAATTCATCACAAACACTTTAGTTGTGTAAACTGAAGTTTTGGAGTCTTAAAAAGGTGCAGCTGATGTCTGGTAAACCACACAGCCAGCACGTGGGAAACAAATGAAACTAGTCCTCCGACTACAGAATGTTAGTGAGCAAAAGGATTTGTGTACAAAGTCACCAAAACATTACTGAGGGACATCAGAGAAACTCAGTTAAAGATCATTATTTAGCTAAACATTGAGTATGACAGAAAAAAGACCCCTCCACCTCTGAAAGGTGCTAAAATGAAGCCAAAAAACCTGAAACAAAATAGCAGACCACAGTAAACAGAGTTTTACGAGTAACATTAAGTAAACTGGTTGATTACTTTGGCCTGCTTCATTGTAGTTTGGGTCTGTACAGCCTCAGTGAGGAGACGCCTGTGTCTCCATGAGAAGATAAGAAGCCGTCCATGGAAGGGAGCAGAGTTTATTAACTTCAGAGGATTATTTATTTTTCTTCTATATCAAGATCTACTCTAATCTACTCTACCAGTATTTGTCATGTCAGGCTTGTAATCAGAGTTGCTGTGAGGTAGCAGTACATGAGCCTACATGCAGAGCAGTAAGCAACTTTCTGTTGACTTTTCTGTTTTCGGTTAAGTGAGATTGACATTCGTTTTAAAGAATCAAACAGGTGCAATGAAATATCAGCTTGTGGCGCAAAGCAAGTGTAACGAGGTGTCACCGTCACTGCAACGCTGCACTAAAACCTCCAGTAGATCTGCACTTCAGGTTTTCACACTTTCTCAGACGTTCTTCCTAAGCCGTCACATCAAAGGGAAATGAAGTCATATTCTTCATCGCGCAGCTTGGAGTAATGAAGTTACGTCTAGCTACAAACACTTGCCACTGCTGCCTGAGCTCCTTTCCACACCCCCTCCCCATTACTTTTCAGCTGCTGAAATCATCCAGAAAGAATGCCTCTGCCTTGGTAGAACAAATGTTTGGGAGAGCACGAAAGAGGCAGAGGAGGAGAAAAAAAAAGGAACATAGAAATAGGTTTTTTTGTGGTGTTGTGAAGGCCATTCTGTTCTGCTTTTCCCTGGAAATCATAAAGTAGCTCTCAGTACTGGTTCTGTGCTGTAATGGGCTATTTCTGATGCACATCGTAAATGGGGTGAAAAAAATTCCAGTAAAAATGCAAAGATTTGGGGTTTGCGAGCATTATGTTATTGTTTTAATGCGTGGGCAGCAGTCATATGATGCTTTCAATGCCCCGTGATTAATTAACCATGAATTTGTATGTGTGTAAATTCTTAGTTATTAGGTTTAATTTATATACACATGTTTGTGGCTGCGTTCAGACGTCCTTCAGATGTTTTCTGTTATTGTTTGCAGCACACAAAAGTTTTAGGTTGGAATGCCAGGTTTATAAATATGACAACTATTCTTAGATAAAACATTAGTCATGCGGTTCATCAATACAGTTCATGGAAATAAAGGTTCAGACGGTTCACTACCTCTGAACACAAAGAAGCGTGGTGTTTGTGTTCATTTTGCATTCTAAGAAGCATGAAGGTTATGAAAAGCTTCAGACCACCTGACCGTGTGTTTTTCCTTGCATGAAAATGATTCTACTTTATTCCTTACCTCAAAGATCTCCTCACGGCTGACCTCAATGCGGCAATGGCCGGCCTGGGGTTGGTGCTGAGAAAGCTCCTGTCGCAGAATCTTCAGCTTCTGCACCAGGTCTCTCTTGTACTTGGGAACCGTCAGGCACTCTGCCTCTTCTGGTAACTGGGCTGGGGACAGGGCTTGCTGAGGGCCACCAGGAGCAACCTGTTCCTTTAACTGAGTCGGATGGCTGAAGGAGGTGAGATGATCAGTAGAGAATAGAAGAAAGGGAGAAGAGCATGGGAATAGATGGAGGGAGGGCATGAAAGAAAAGCAGGGGGAAAAGAAAAGAACAGCGGTTTGTCAGTATGACCCATCAGTTATCTTAAAATGTTTGTCCTTAGATGTTCTTTCCTGAAAGCAAATTACTATTGTGTGATTGTTTATACAAAGACAGAGGAGATATGTCCGGTAGGGAATTCCCTAACTCCGCCATCCACTAACCACAGGACCAGGGAGTTTTGTAAGAAATTCCCTCTGAAGCCCTCACCCGCTTCACTGGTCTTAAAGCAAAGAGTGCTAAACAGAGCTCTAAGCTCTGAGCAAATCTAATCCAGACCTGTGGACAAGCTGAACCTTTGCCCAGACATTTGGTAAATATCACCACCAGGAAAGAGAGTGAGGGAGATAAACCCTGAGTAAGCAGAGAGACACAAACAGACACAGAAAGGGGGGGGTACGAAAATTTAGACAGGACAGTGGTGTAAGAGTAGCTGGCGCCTCCGGCGAGCTCAACTGGACTGATAAGTTGATCTGTTCTTTTCCTCTTCATGTCAAACTTGACCTACTGTTTTGAAAAACACTCTCCATCCCACAAATCTTTACTTCCTGTTTTAAAGCTAGAGGTCCGTGGTTCCCAGTAGGTATCACTGCCCACCAACAAGCACAAGCAGAGCTTTCATCTAGCCCGCGGAGCTGCCCTCCCTTTCCATGCAGTTCCAGCTAAATTCGTTTTGCTAGATGTCCGTAGACCTGGAGCTACAGATATGGATCATATGTGAATATCTTCACATTTAGAGGGGGAAACAAACACTTTTAGAAAAAAGGACTAAGAACTAAAGTATGATACTTTTACATCCTCTCTGTAGAGAAGAAAAACAGAGCGGTTACAGGACTATTCATCATCAATTTCTAGGACAACATTTCAAAGAAGAAAAATGAGGGTGAAGGGAACAAGGAGCGGGTGATCTTAGAGGCGGTGGAGGAAGAGATTTCAGCTGTTGCTGTAGCAGCAGGTGAATCAGGATGTGAAAAGTACCACTGCTTCATCTCCAAACTCAGGCTCAGAGCAGGAGGCTTTAGCTCTCTAGTCTATCTGAGCGGTTTTCAATTGTGTGTATCAAAACAACCTGACTTTAATTCTAAAACACAGCAACTGATGTGCTTAAATAACTGGTTACATCCACACAGACAGAGTGTCAACAGAGTTTGCTAACTATGAGACCATCAACATAGCATTTTGTTTAAAAACAAAACAAAACATTGAGGCCCTTATTTTTCTCCTCGTTTAACTTCTTCCGCCAACTTATTTGAATTTTTTAAAGCCAACCGCTAAAGTCACCTCTAGTTTTGCTCTGAATTTAGATGGAAGCCTAAAAAAAAAATAAAAAAACCCAAACAAACCATAGTTCCATGATCCTGATAGCATCTCTGGTCGAAACTGACTGGCCACTTTGTCGTTTTCTTACTTGAACACGAAATAGATTTTTCACTATTGTCCATTTCTCTCAACGTGTGTTTTTCTTGTCCTAACACAAAATAGAAAACCACCCTTTTCCAAAATGCAGTTAACTATAATTCCAATTAATGCATTCAGTTCATGTTTGTGCGGAAGCCTTGCATTTTTTTAGACAACAAGGTCTATTGTGAGGAAGGTGGAATTTGACACTGAGGCACTTAAATGCTGACCTTCATCTTATTTTGCCCCCTTGGTTTTCAGAGCTTCTATGTTCTAAGAAATATTTAGATACAGCCTATGGAACGTGAGCCATGGTGAGGATTCATGTTCTAACTTCCTCCAGCCCTCACTGTGGTTTTGGTGGTGAGATGCCTGGGTGGGCCTCGTAAAAACAAACTCCATCTCTCCCTTGAGCAGGGCAGCAGCCCTCATTTTCCTGCGATGAGACATGCAGGCAGCAGACGACTGCTTTAAAAGAAGCTACTGTCCTCTGCTGGGAGTGTCAAAGCTGCTGTTGACTAAACAAAGACAGCAAACCAACCGGCATGAATTGAAACAAAAGAATGAGAAAGAGAGGCCTTCCAATGCAGCATCACATATCCACCCACTTATTCCAACACTTAGTGTACACTTGGGTTGTTGGGATCAGTGGGTTGAAAAAGGCCCGTCTATCTATGAGGGCTTTCCAAGCTAAACGGGTACAGTGTTTCACCAGCCTATCCCTGTATAATCAACTCAGCTGCTATTTATTTTATTGGCAGGCGCTGGGGCTCCTAGCATGTCAAAGAAAGGGTAAGACTGCAGTACAGCAGTCTTGAAAACCACTTTTAGGAAGGAGGAGGGGAAGAAAAGATGCCTTAAAACAAAACTGAATGAGTTGCTTTTGGCTGGAGGACTTAAGAACCATATAATAAAGCGTAATTTCAGCGCACTTTTTCTTCTGAGGGCACAGTGCAATTAAAAATATGTTTCGGCATAGTTCACTGTCTCAAGTTCCCAAATGGGACAAACTCTGCATATTTGATGGTAAATATAGAAAATACAAGCACAGCAAAACTGAAAATCTTTCCCTGAGCCAAAAAAGAGAAATGGTTCTTACTGATGTGACAACTGTGAAATATGATGAGTGGGGAGAAATCTAAACTTTCAAATTCAATCTAAAAGACACAGGATTGTGATATTGTTATTCCATGCTAGAGGGAACAGGAAAAAGAGGCTGTAAAGGTCAAGAAATTAAGACGCAAACATTTGCACAAACTGGATGACCCCACACCTGAACCGGCGGAGTCATGATAGCCTTCTATCCTCTCTCTGTACTTGCAGGCTGTGTGTGCAGAGCTGCACGTCTCTGTGTGAGAAAGTTTACTTGCTGCTTTTTACACTACAGCTTGCACAGGTGGGATATAATGAGTGGTGACTAAGTGTAGTAGTGTTAAAGCCACATGAACACACCCACTCTGACCCCCACCCAGCCCACAGAATCAAAGGGCCCTTTAATAGTGGGGCTATCAGGCTGGTGCCATGCTCCTTACACTTAAAATGCATAAGAGAACAGAAAGAGCGGGGAGAAATGTCACTGTCGTGCGTCTTGCCAGTGAACCGTGACCTTTGACATTCTTTCTAATTTTAAAATTAGAGAACTTCTGCCTTCTCTAAAAGCAGATGCATTACAGGAAATAAGCACTAGACAAACTGTGGATAGCCTGATGATGAAGAAAATATTCTGTGTATGAAGACATTTTCTAAAAATAAAGGATTAACATCATTTTCCATTTCTGATCATTATGTGATTTCTGATTTAATTAGAATTTTTAGCATCCCATGGATACTAATGCCTAGCTAAAACTGGTAGATGTTACACTGTATATATTTGTTAAGATGGATTTTTTTTTCTTTTTTCTTTTTAAATTTAATTTTAGGCTTTAATCCATGTAGTTTTTTCTGTTTGCTCTAATACTAAAGGTTCCCTTTCAGGTGGCAATCACTGCACTGGTGAATCATGTCAGGTTTAGAAAATACAGTAGAAAAAGTCAAAATCCCCACAGCCAAGTAATTTCCATTTAGCTCTACAGGTTATTATACTAAATATAATCATAACTTCACAAAACATCAATGCAAATGTTGATATAAATGTCATCAAGATTTACTGCTTGGTTGGGAAAATACCTGCTGATGCCCAGCAAGGCCCAATCCAGCACCACCTAAAAATACCTTCAAGCAAACACTGATGTAATTTTTCAGACATACTCTATGAGTATACAAAGCAGGAAGCTAAGTATGCGAGAGACGGTGTGGCAGACCACAGTAATGCAGCCGTGTCTGACTGACTATTCGAGCCCTGCATCAGCTGAGGTCAAAGGCAACAGGGCTGTGAGTCTTATTTAAATGAAGTGTATAGGATTACAGTTTGCATCCCAAATCTGCTCCATGCATCTAATACTGCAGACTAAACATGCTGTTACTACAGAGAGGATGAATCTGAATCATGAAACAACAGAAAGAGTGCAGAAATGTGAGGTACTCTAGCTAGCAAGCTTCCAGCCAGCAGTTTTTTGTCACTGGAGTTAAAAATCAAGAAAAATATTGTCTGCCACATCACATAATTTTTTCAGCTGCTGTTTACGACATTGCGGCCTGAAGCACCAAAGGCTGAGCTGAGGTCAGGATAATAAAAATGGAGCACATGTCTGCATTAGCTGCAGTGCAGTGAGTCAAAAAGAACATGAAATTTTTTTTAAGAGCTTCAGGATCGGTAGAAAGATTTTTTTGGAAAGATCATCAATGTTTGATGGCGTGAAGTGGGCAGTAAATCTGTCAGAGAGAAGGAGTTGACAGAGTTTATATTTGTTCCATATCTGATCTGCCTTCCTCTGTGTCTTTTTTTAAAAAGTCATAATTTTTTTCCCCCCACTCTATAGTCAGAATCTCTTCATTGTTTTTGAGTGGCCAAGAATTTCATTCTGTGTCTTTGTGACAGAAAATGACAGGAACATTAATTGTGGTAGTGGAAGGAAACACAAACAACAACTGCTTTTCTTTTCCAATATGCACGCAAAATTTCCTGTTGTGCTCTCTCCTCCTGCGGTATGCATACTTTTGTTAAAACCCACGGACTCTCACTGAAATCAATTCTTGCTGCTCTGAAATGGAGTTTCATGCCGTACTTAAGTGCGTGCTTCTATGTTATAGACCTAGGAAGTAGGAGGAAAAGTTGAAAAAAAAAAAAAGAGGTATCTGATCTCAACTTGGCTGATCTCTCTTTCGAGGTCATCTTGTGCATGTCTGGATGACTTTTTTAGATGTCTCAGTGGAAGTCACTTTCTGTATCCTTACACTTGCACTTCTGTGATGTGAGCTGGATCTCCTCCAGAGTGTCAAAAAGATTCTTCAACTTTAATTTTATTTAGTGGAAGTGGAAAAGCTTACTGGGAGCCAAGTGTTACGAGTGGGACAGGTGGTGGGGCAAATATTTTGTTGGTGTGTTCTCAGTGTGCTCGATGTTTGTGAGAGTAATGTATTCAGTATATTTTGAATTAATATATTATGATGCTTTTTACAACTACATGAATGCACTATTGCTGTGTGATTTATTACTATTACTGAAGGTTACTCACCATACCAACACCAACTAGATTTTCAAATCTTAATATAAATGAGCAACAGTAGGTGGACATTAGGTAAGGCTTCACTTTTTGCAGCGATCCCGTATAGAAAACTATTCCGCGCGTATATAAAACAGGTCCGCGGCTCTGAACCGTAGTAAAGGGACCTCTGGCTAATACGTCAGGTTCGTGTCGGGCTCGTAGCTGAAAACTAGCTTTACTTTGTTGTCTGAGTCAACTTTGCTAGCGAGAGACAGAGAGAGGCTGCTCCAACGGAGCTTATTGTTTCTGAGGAAAACACGAACACGGTGTACAGTCGAGTCTTAATAGCTTACTTACTGCTGGGCTCGTCAGACACTCTTTTTGGCTGCAGTGGTTATTATTATATTTACATGCTTCCATCTCCCGTTTCTGCTCGATGACAGCTCGTACTTTTCGACTCTGTCCTTTCTTCCTCCCCTCGTGCTCACAGACACATAACGGGTATGGCAGTCCATTCTCCCTCCACTACACTGCCCATGAGGCTACATTCTTTAGGGTGATGCCTGTAACACTCTGCCTATTGCCTTCATATTAAATAATTTTTGAATAATCATTTAAAAAAAATATTTCTTCACGTCATTATGCGGGTCACAAATAGAGGTGACATGGGCCACGAGATTGAGACACAGGCATTAGAGGCTCTTAATGTGTGTTTTGTTTGAGTGGAATTATCAAAAATAGAGAGGAGGGCATAACCTAACATATGAGTCAGTTTTAGATTTAATCATAAATCGTACAGTTCAAGTCATCATACTGGGACTTCCAGGGAGAGATCGAAACAAGCAGCTGTACTGGAAGCTGTCTGGGTATGCACAGAAAGATGGCCTTGAGGAAGAGATCAGCCAACTTTAAATTAGGTATTTTCATAATACCTTAAATGCAGTTTGGGGGCTAAATATTCTTAAAAGTAGATAATATCCAGCAATACTGTTTGGAAATAACAGTGAAGCTTGGCCCTTTCTCTGCCAAGAGTGTGTGAAAGACAAGAGGCGCTTGGTGACTTCTGACTTGCTGCCGACCAGAATTCGCTAAAATTAAAAAAGCAAATCAAAGTAGATGTCACTGCATACGGATCATGAGTGATGACTGAAACAGGTTGCTTTTCAGTTTACAGATTTTTCCAAAGAAAATGCTACATATTATATCTTTAAATCCTGACAGCATAAAAGAAACAGGTCCTGGTATGAAGTCAGCAGAAAAATCCAACACCTTTTCAGGACAGAAACGTTCAAGGTGGAAGCACAAAGGGGATTAAAAGAAAAATACACAACAAGGAGGAGGAGATGTAGAACAAAAACAGTGGTGGTGGTTTGACTGGTTGTTCTACTAGTGTTTACATACCGGCTTAGTAGACAGAAACTTAACGAGGCTGATACTCCCAAATGTTTCGACGAATCTGCTTCACTCGTGCAATATGTGTAAACAGCCTGGTGTGGCATTCGTGCATGTGCCTATGCAGCCTCTGTATTACTGCCTGCTGTTGTTTGTGTACATGCAGGCACAGTTCAGCCTCTCACCCAGTAAGAAGTTCAACATTTATCACCACTAAGAAAATGTTGTGTTTCAGTGCCAAAAGTAGAAAAGTGACTAATACTGAACACATTCCAATTTTGAAGAAAAATAAATAAAATTAAATAAAACACTGATTTTGAAGTGCGTTTACTTTTTCCTGCCACGGTGACTTTTCTACTTGAGTACATCAGGGTAGTAATTAAAAGCAATGTTGCCAGTTTTTGGTTATGGTCAGACATAAAGGAGCAGCTTTAAGGAAGCAGATACTATCTGAGCTGAAATTGTTTTTACAACTGTGCAGTTTTACATATGCGAGGTATACCACTGGACCATCACACGCCAAAGTTTTAAAGCCCAATTAAAAATGTAATCCAGCCAATATTCGACTAGGCTCTCTAAACTCCCCCCCCCTCTGTAATTGTACCTAATAAAAATACAAATAAAGAGAACAAGTGCTTACTTTTACATACAATAACGTATTCGGATATTACATATTTCGGCAGAGCAGAACATTGCTCTTGCTGTGACACAAAATTGCAAACGGACTGTCTTTCAGTTTTATTTTCATTAATATCGTGTGCATCACTGCAAAAGCTGCAGTACAAATGACAGCTTATTAATTTTTCAAAGCTCTAAAGTGTTGTCTGGACTCAAATCGCACCTAATAAGGAGTCAGACAAGCGGTTAACGATGCTGACTGTGGATAACATAACTGAGCTTCAAATCACAACCAGAGGCTGTTCTGACACATATGGATACTATTTGACCAAATGACCAGATGTTGATTTCCCAAACATGTCTATCGTGCCAGCCGCTATTATTGCAAGAGGTTTTGACTAAGAATTTCTACCAAAAAAGCAAAGGCGGAAAAATCCCTACATCTCTCTGTATGCTCCTCTTGTTCTAATAATCCCCACTGCGCACGCTGAAAGTCGTAAGTAAAGTAAAGAGACCTCCCTGACAGCCAAAATACTTCCTAAAATTTAGTCTGTCGTGTCTACAAAAATACCACAGACAATTTTGGTGTAATTTTCACTAAATTATGCGTCCGGCCTGCGTCTTCTGTTGAAGAATAAAAGAAGATTTGTGCTAAGCTAGCAGCTGCTTCGCTAACATGTGTTTAGTATTTTCATGAGTGAGGTTTGGCTTCATTGGGTCAGTGTACTAAGCGCTGATCTTCCATGGAGGCAGGCTGCTGACAGACTAGACGAGCATAATGAAAGATGAACTGACAGTTCTCCGATACGGACAGCAGGCCAGAGAGTGTGTGTTTAATACTTGCATGGCATCCAGTTGAAAGGTAACCTTGAGAAAAAAGATTCGCACATGTTTACAATAACACAAGCAGACATGCTCCCCCTTTGGATGGCATTTTCTCTCATGGTATTATAACAGTGCAAGTCTGTGTGTATATAGTATGAAAGCCTATGTGCCCTGTGGACAGTTTATCTGTACGTTGCAGATTATGAATGCTCATGTTTTTCTCTATGCATGTCTGTGTTTTTGTGTGCATTTGTGGGTTACCTGAGGTTAGTGTTTTGGCTGTCCATGGCCACACGGGAACCATTTGGACTTGGGCTGCTGGAGAAAGCAGGAAAGAGGAAAAGACAGAGAAAGACAAAAGGGGGGAAACGAAGAAAAGGACATAAAAGAGAAGGTGAATGGCAGAGAAGAGTATTGGAGCATTGAAAACATCAGGGGATGGGATTAAAAAAGGAACGGAAAAAGAGGACAGACGTGAAAAAGGACAGAATAAAGGACATAAAGAAAGAGAATGTAGGTGAGATCAAACAAGAAAAATGGTGTAAAACAATCCAAAACATGGACAAAATAAAGAAAGCAAGAGTTTTAAGGTTATAAACAAATAATAGGATAGAGTGTTAACATAAAAGAAAAGAAAAACACGACAGAGGAAGTGATAAGGAGGAACAAAACAGCAAAAAGAGTGAGTGAACCATATACATATTCATTGCTGGTGGATTAAACAATGTAAGCAAAACACATCCTCTCTTCTCTTGGTTACTCCATACACATGATGACAGGAGTACTGTTGATTTCCACTAACACAATGAGCGGGAAGCTAATTTTAAAAATATTAAGCCATTAATGTCCCTCTGCTTCAAATACAAAGATGTCAGAAAGCTAAAACAAACCTTAGCAGTGCAATAGGCACAGTGAGGTCAGCACTCAATGACGATGAAACGTTGGACTTCTTTTAGAAGAAGAATATAAATGATGTCTTAAGCAATGAAAATATCTACTTTATTTTACAGTCATATCCTTGATCAGACTTGTTACTTTAATGGTTACCTGGTTTCCAAATAGCTGAGGGTGCTTTACAGAAACTACCATCAGTGAATTATGTGTTTCAGTCACCGCTACGCACATTACCTTATGATTATAGAGGGACAGCTAATAAAAGGCTACAACAACTATATACCTGCATACTTCCAACATATCTAACTTCATTCTTTGGCATCTGACAGTTGTATGGAAATGTCTGATTCTTATATTACAGAGTGAACAGTACACAATAAAAGCAAGCATTTGTCTGTGCATACCACCACAAACCTAAACAACAACCATGGGACTGCTCTCAAAACACTCTTGAACAATTGTTAAACTCACTTGAGCACTAGATGCAGGTTAGCAGACAGCCGTGGGTCTGTGAACTGTGTTGTTCGATTGTTGTGGTCAACAAAGTAGACACGGCCGGTGGCAGTGTTTCTGATCTCCCAGCCGGGTGGCAGTGGGCCAAGCTCCTCACAGTTTACATTGCTTAAGTCCCTGAACCAAAAAAAAAAGATTAAACTGTTACAAATTCACTCATGTTGCATTGATCAACCCTCTTTAATATAAGTAGCTGGATAGCACTGACACCATTAACTCGAGGCAAGATGAAAACGTTTTGCTACTATGATCATAAAAATAAAAAAACAATAACTTAAGTGCTGTTCCTTAACTACAAAGTCATGTCATTAGGTAGCATGCATATGCAGCTACAAGTGGTGAGAATGAAACTTTTACAGGATGCAATCTAAAAACAGGCAGTGCTGGTGCAGAGGTGTACGAGGAGACGACCTTGAAGGGCAGATGGGTCGTGCCACATACCTACTACAATTAATACACTACCAACTACAGTAAAACCAAATAACTGTTCATACAGAATTTTATATGAGGGACAATTTGTTGACATATTTGATGATAGTTGTGTTGTGTGATAATAAAATAAAGTGATAACCTGTAACAACACTGTTGTTACCACTGAAATTATCATTTTGCCCAAGTCCTTGTTCTTATTTCTTGATTCTCCTTCTGTCTTGCAGAGTGACATTTCTGTTAGCAGAAACTAAAGTTGCGATCTGGGACAACGCTGTAGCCTGAGGAGCTTCTGTGCCTTTCCTTGTGTGTGAATCCATCGTCCTTGTGTGAAGTGAGGACACATCACTCAGGCACAAAGCACATGCCTGGCTGCACTCATCGCAGATACTGGGTCATTTTAGCAGCTCTGTCCAAAATGACCAAACCCAGAGGTTTATGCTCTCAGTCGGATGCTATGTGAGCAGAAGCTACATCGAGGTGTAGCCAAAAACATAACGCAACAGAGCTGCTTGTAATCTTTGGGGAATTAAGCAGAGAACTGTTGAGAGTTGGTGAAAAAGCATGATTGAATGCAGAACCATTGGCTTATAGTTTGGTCAGTTCAACAAAAAAAAAAAAAAAAAAAAAAAAAAAAAAAAAGAAATGCAAAAATGCTCTTCCAACTCCGCATCAGACCCAGGGGTTGTCCGTTTGGCTGACACCGACTTGAGTCTGAAATTTGACTAATAAGAGTATTTTTGAACACGAAAAACAGAAACAAAGGAAGAAATAACGTCTAATTCAACCAAGTCAACTCCAGTTTGCTCTTGTCAGTTTTGCAGTTTTGTGTCAGGTTTGATACTAGGAATCGAACAAAAAAAGACAACACACTCATTTCAACACACATTGAAATCAGTGTGTTGTTAATTCCAGTACAATCATATATATTACACAACTGCATATGCCTTATCAAATAGGAATTGAAAAGGGTTTTTACAAGTAAAGGCACAATGAAGATGAAAAGAAATATATGAACACCAATGAGTTACCTGGGCACCCGGGGATCATGCCATGTGCTGACTCCAGCCTGTGTATGGAGGAAGTAAACTTGGCCCTGCTGAGTTGTTCTTTGTTCTGTAACAGAGAGGAGATACATTTGTCAAAAAAGGCCAAAAAGAGCACAGAAAAAAAGCTTGGGACTGTTTGTGGGACCGATGTTCTGCAGTCTACATGGGTATAAGCAAGGATAGGGAGTTTGTGTATTCTGGAGTAGGAGAAGTCTGTTTATAATTTATGTGACAGCCAAACTGCTGGGACACTGTTGACCTAAGAGTTTCTTAAGGTGTGTGCCAATGTAATCAATTAGTTCCTCTTCAGTCTCCAATAGGCGTATCCCAAGGGGATGGGAAAAATAAAATGTGAGGGAAATGTATCAAAGACTTCCATGAATGTTTTTCCTTGTGGACAGTTCGCTGATGCATCCTAGTTGCCTTATTTCACTTAAAGGTTTGTGCGTGCTTTGAAAGTAATCCACCCCCGTTAACCTTCAGAAACAAAGGAAATGGAAAGTTAAATGCTTTCATGTCGCCAAACCCACTAATTCGTGTGTAAACAACCAGAAGAAATCAAAGGGGAGTGACACTCATTTGTAAGCTATCATTAGCTCATTGAATCTGTGGTTCCATCCAGCGCATAGATGAATGGAGAGCAACTGTGTGAATGTTGGCATAAAGTCAGTGCTGCAGTGGTGGGGTATTCATGTGTATATTCACCAGCTAATCCATTACTAACTCCCACTCCAACTTCCTACTGGCAAAACACATTCCCTCTCTCCCTCTTATTCTCTCTCACCACACCCAGCCAGTAGTTCAGAGGGTTCAGCTAAGGAAGAAAGCTCTTGAGTTGTTGGGCATCAGTGACTCACTTTGTCCAACCTCAGCCAGTCTCAGTGGACACAGCAGGACCTTTCAAAGGGGGCACAGATCCAGTAGTGTCATTCCCAAGCACTGGCATATAAGCACCACACTTAAAATAATAATTTATTTTACAGAGACTGTGGCTATTGTGGGGTCCACTGTGGCTGACTGTGAGAGAAGAGCACTTCTTTGCAAAGAAATCTTTCCCACGTTGGAGAGGGCAAAAAACAAACAAACAAAAAAATAAACCCCAAAAACCATTTCTGTTATTTTCCCCCAAGTACTTGAATGCTGTAAGCAAATCCAGCTTAAAGAATAAACCAAAAAAACAAAACAAAACAAAAAAAAACCCAACCTAAAGTCTCTTCTTGGAGTGAAACACTGAGCTATGAAAAGGATTCCCACCTTCTTTTCGTTGTGGGAATAATTGCGTGCAAAGCCAAAACATTCCAATAGTTAAAACGAGGAGAGGTGAGGAGAGGTGAGGAGAGGAGCCGAGAGGAGAGGAGAAGAGGAGCAGTAACACAAACTAAGGCTACGTTCACACTGCAGGTCTTAATGCTCAATTCCGATTTTTTGATCAAATCCAATTTTTTTATCTGCTTATTCACACTACAAATAAAATGCGACAGCAAACGCGCTCTAGTGTGAACGCTCAAAGCGGCCCGCATGCGCAAAAGACATCACACACAACGCGCTCTGTTTAGACCCAGAGCAAACAATATTGTTTGACTGATGGTCCTTAATGTGAAGACTTTGGACTTTACGTTTCCCAATTTTTGCTTCAAGTTATTTTGTTATTTACATAATAATGTAAATAACCTAATAATGATCCTTATTGCTGTTTTAGAGAGAAGCGGTGCTTCAAAGGTTAGTTGCAGATTTCTGTCAGAATCTGCAGATTATACAGTACAAATAAAATGTTTACGTTGTCTTCCCAACAGTTTCACTGACATCTACACGGGATGGCCAGGAAGCGTTCGCGCTGATAATTGGCGTCTGTCTTGTGTCAGTGACGTAAAAGACGGATTTAATGCGACTTGACCATTCAAACAGCAGTCGCTTTCTAAAACATCGGATATGTATCGGATTCAGTACCACATACGAAAGTGACCCACATCGGATTTGAAAATATCGGATTTACACTGTCATACCATGATCGGATATGGGTCGCATAGGGTCAAAAAATAAATAAATTTTTAAAAAAAATCTCATTTGATGCGCTTTCGCCTGCAGTGTGAACGTAGCCCAAGTGATGACTGCAGTTGTCACGATGTGCTTCTGCAGGGTGGGGGTGGGAAAGGAAAGAGGCGAGAAAGTGTGAATAAATCGAATGACGGGACGGGAATACAGGAAAAGACAACAAAGGGGAAGTTAGAAAGCTATTTAAATGAGATTCTCATGATGAAAAAAAAAAAAAAGTGCCCCCAGGCAACAAAGAAAACACTCGCCCCAGGATCAGAGCGCCACGTCTTTCATCTGCATACCTTGGATATTTGGGGTTGGGGGGGGTGGACTGATTTTGGATGTTCCAAAATGCACTTTTTTAGTTCAACGAACATGGGATTTGGTAACCGCTCTAGTCTGAAACAACAGCTGTGAGAACGTAGTAGCTGACAGTATAATCACACCAGTACAATATAATGTGATGTCAATGAGGCAGCTTTCACTCAGTGGTAACAATAAGGAATTTAAATATAAAACAGTAATTAATACTAGATTTGTATGCATTTCCCGCTTTGCCATGTCTATATTTGTATACAACAAAGAGGCAGAAGAAAAAATCTGATGAGTTGGATGAGGTTTTGGCTTATACTTGTCAAGTTCATGCTGACCGTAGAAAGAAACTCCATCTTTCTTTAATGTCTCTAAAAGTTGTGAGGCATCACAGATACAGCATTGGTCTTCATTCATTATGACACAATAAGCATTCCTGACCAAAGCAACTCCCTACAGCGTCTGGTTTAGGCCATAATTTGGCTGTAGTCTGAACCACTGATGTGTTAATACTAAGTGTATGCATTTGTGTGTCACTCCACTGTCTCTCACCATAACCCTCAGGCAAATCTGGCGGCGTATGTAGGTGTGTTCGACTCATGTAGTTACGATGCCGCTGCGATCGAACCCTTCGCTCCTGGATTCGCTGTTCGCCCGGAGGGCCACTCGCCTCTGCCCCATTAACGGGCGTCATCACTGGGGTGTTTTCATCCACCACGCAGCTCAATGGACGCCCTGATGGGCTGGAGTACTCTGATGCTGGTCTGGAAAAGAAAAGAAAGGGCACATGGTCAAAGTGGGGTGATAAGGGGTTTGTATTTCACTTTTGCCTCCATTTTCAAATCACATTCTATGAATCGGTACATACTCTGACAGTATATTTCTTGGCATATCTGAAATAGCTAAACCTATGTTTGAAAGAGCATTTCTATTCCATCTTGCTATAAACTGGGTGAATAACTGAAAAGAACAATGTGTGCTTTTATTCCTACAAGTCGTATGTGTGACTCCAAGAAACAATTTTTTGGTGAAGTGATAAATGGTTGGCTTTTAGTTTTGGTGAATTTAAGCAAATGTTTACCATGCTTACCAGCAAAGCTGTGTTTTCTGTTAAGTCTCAGAAGTAGCAACTTGATCTCTTTTTGGTAAGCACACAGACACATGGATAGCATCTTTGTTGCAAAACACTTTGTTTCATATGCTCTCTTGAAGATAAATGTGTTTTATGATAATGCTTAAGCTTTGAATAATATCAGTGATTATGGGTTGCATAAAAAAAAGAACAAAAAGTCATGAGACTACAGTCTGTGTCAGCATGTTAAGAGCGGCACTTGCAAACAGATATCTGATAAGGAGACACAAACACAGACAGACTGGCTTACTGGCAGTCATTGTGTGTGCAGCCTGTCTGACCACTGTCTGGCTGTCCAGAGTTACTGACGCCTTGGCTATCTAAAGTCTTGGACCCACAACCCCTCCAAATGCTCTTCCTCCTCCCATTTCCTCTTTCACTGTGCTTATTTTTTCCCCCCCATCTCTGCATCGACTTTCCTTTGTCCCGTCTTCATGTTCTACCCCTGGACAAGTGTCCCCTCACGACAACCTAATTCATCAACTCTCACTTTGTCATTGCATCCTCCTACACAGTCCTACCTACTCGTCTTCCTCCTTAAATTCATCATTTCCTCCTCCTCCCCCAAATCCACACCGCTTGACCTTTTCCTCACCATTATTTCCTGCCGTTCCAACTGTGTTCCACTCTGCTGTGTAGGGGTGACTAAAGATGTGAAGCAAAAGTGGGTGAGGTGGTCCAGGGTGTTATTTGCTTACACTCCTAATGGCTCCACTGATACGGGCCAAGTAGGAAGGCGACAGTTGTTCCTGTAGCAACGGGGGCCAAATGAAGCCAGGCTGCCTGAATGGCTGGATAGTTTATTTAGCCATTTGTGTCCGTGTGTGTTGGGGTGGAGGACTAAGGAAACTGAGAGCATTATCAACAGACTGTTTTTGTTGTGTTGAAGTGGATTTTCTTCTCAAAGGGGAAGTGAGGAAGGAGTACAACCACTTTCTCAGATCCTCGTGCAAGCTCTCTATAAAATTTGCTTTGGATTAAATTAGCATTCTTGCTGTATGTAAGGTAAAATTAAAGTGCAGGTACATTGGTATTCTTTTTAATATCCTATATAGATTAAGGTATGCTAAAACTAAAGACGTGTACATATGTACCTGGTTGGCCTCTCCCATTGTGTGGTGCGTGTGATGTGGTTCAGGTACTGTATCCTTCCAGAGGCCGTCCTCCTCTCTTCCCAGCTGTTTCATTGTACACAATGACACAAAGTTAATATTCACCATTTTAAAAAACTAAACAACACGAAACAAACAAACAAACAAACAAAAAACCCCACACAACATTACTTCATTTGTTAGAAGGATAATATTAAAAAGTTACTACTTAATTCAATCAAATGGACAAACTCCAAATACAAAAATAAGGGATTTTTTTAAAATTAAAAACAGAACTAATAGCCAACAGGATAGATAAAATGTCTGAGGATACTGACCCGTCAGGTAAGTCATTGTCAAATAGACGACTGCAGTCTACCACTGGTCCTCCAGAACCGATGCGATCTCTGGACTGAAGACTTACTACAGTTTAAGACGAGAAAGATAATACAGCAGCGATTTTACTCACTATAAGGCTCAAAGTAAATTGAGCATTTTGTATTCTGTTATGCATTTGTGTCACTTAAGCCATTTTCACACATGCACTTTTCTCATATGCAACCAGCAAAGCTGCATAATATAAGACAACAAATGTCAGATGGCGTTGGATTGGACATTAAAGAGTCTTTAACCTGCCAGCTTGTGAGTATAAAGTCAGTGTAATGTAAAAGAGATGTTATTCGCCTCCTGAAGGCAAGCTGTAGAAATGTATTTTCACTTCAGGGTAACATCTCTATTTACTTTTCAATACTTCTGTTTCTGAGACCAACGCATGGAGCTGATGATCTGAGTTATTTGCATAATGGTAAATGCAGGTGTTAGAGACAATGCCAGGTGGTAACTGTACTTCGTGCACAGGCAAATGGGAAACAATACCCACACACTTAAACAAGCAGTTTATGCAGTGATAACAGTATTTCTTACCTACTATCTGTCCTCTCACAGTATCATTGTCATTTGGGCCCAGTTTATTCAGGTCAAGTCTCTGATCTGCAAACAAAATAGAAAAACGGATTCAGCATCTGCTGCATGTTTAACCTTTAAAAGTGTACCTCGAGGAGTCATACCAATAATGACACTAAAGAGAAAAAAAGAAGTTGTGTAGGTAGCACAGGCTATAAATACAAGATTGTTATAACTACTCTGATGTAAAAAAAAAATAAAAAAATAAATATTATTATTATTATTATTATTATTATTATTATTATTATTAATAATCATCATCATCATCATCATCATCATCATCATCATCATCATCATCCGGGTTTAAACCCATAAGCTGAGCATTTGTTACGGCAAAACCAGATGACGCAAGCGAGGACTTTGAATTGTGGCAAAAAGTTGAGCCAGGATTAGCATTTTTTGTGTGAGTTTTAAATAGTGCAAGAAACCACTGCTTCACTTAAAAGCCCATATTTCTGTGCATGTACAGAGAATACTTCAAATGTCCCTATAATGTTTTTCTAAGTCTGTAAATTGGATCGCCGCTGGTTTCAAATGAGTGGTGATAACCCAATTTTTAACATGCAAGTTTAATAGCAGTTAATAAAAAGAGGAATCTGACTCAGGAGACAGCAAATGTAGCTATGTCTGGACACAAACTGTAATTAGCCTTGTTGTTTCTAAGTAAGAATTCACTGTCTGCTCAGGAAGGGGCAGTGGTGCTAGACACATAATCCAAGTCACTGAACAAGATCCAGACACAGATACACTCATCTACACACACACACACACACACACACACACACACACACACACGCTAGATCCTACAAGGAGATTTGGACATATTCCAATTGACCAGTGCAGGAGTAATATCAATTAATTTTCATTAACAACACAACGGATGTGTGTACAGGTGTGTGTGTTGGCTAAACACAAGACGTAGGTTGAGTGTAAAATAAACAGAAATATGCAGAAGAGACAGTGTGAAAGAAAGCAAGATAAAGGGACACTCCAGCTCACCATAAGCCAACTCTTAAGTTGTCATGTCTTTGGTTTGTGTGCATGACTTATTTTGCACATTAAATCGTTTAAATGGGAAGAAGCATATAGCTCATTTCTATAATGTCTGCGGGTTTGTGTGAGAACAAGTGCATCTGTTCCAGATATGTGTCTAGACTAAACAAGGATGGTTTGAGCCTTACATGGCCAGAATAGTAAGCAGATTTTTTTTCTTAAATAAGAGAGGAGGAAAAACAGAGAGACAGAACATTTAAAGACCTTTAACCACAAGCCCTCACCACACCATTCAATTCCTCAGAGCTTTAAAAGCTGTGTGCTGCAATAGACTAAACTGCATAAATATGTGTCAATGTGCACATGCAGAGCCACACGTTTAATTTAGTCGCTTCATTTAGATCATGCACAGCTGTCTGGACATGTTTGCCATGTCTGCATGCATGTGTAAAAACTGTAGAATCAACAGTATCACTATCAGCACATCAGGAAAAATAACAAGACGTTGCATCAACAGTATCAATACCAAGCACAAAAAGCAAAGTTCAAAGTAAGTGTACCAATAGTAGTAAGGCAAGTCATTTTGAAAAACTGGTGGTCTGTGTGTCTGTGTGTGAGTGTGTTAGTGAGTTTGTGGGTACAGAAATGAGGCAGATGACTTAGAGGTTTGTGTCTGTAATGCTAAAGCAGGAAATGAGTTCAGTGTAAAGCCAAACAACCTTCTAGTAAACTAGGCAACCATGCTGGATACCCTTTTGCAAGACTGTGCAAGAGCAGTGTGTGTGTGTGTGTGTGTGTGTGTGTGTGTGTGTGTGTGTGTGTGTGTAGGGGAAGTTTTGTAAGGGTTTTGTGTTTATACTGGATGGCAGAGTGTGCTATGTGTATGAATATGACTTGCAGGAACTCAGACAATTCCAGTAATGCCTTTTTGTGTGTTTGGGTTGTTTTTATGTTTTTGCCTGTGTATGTGCACATCTTGGTTAGACCACAGAGTGGGCTCCATTCATGTGTCTAAATATGAATTCATGTATCTGCACAACACAGGAGGAGGACAAAGGCATAAAGCAAGGACCTGTCACAGAACATGCTTCCCTGTCCACTTTCTGTGGCTGAGATAAAGTATAATTTCTGCCATGTTGACTGCACAGTAAGTGGCTTGTCTGGAGCCTAAACTGTCTGCCTCTGGAAGTGGATAAATTTAAGTCCCCCGTCATAGTGAGGTAAAAGTATTGCACCAGGCTTTCTTAGGTTGTCAAGGTCCCTTTTGTGGCAACAATAATGCTGTTGTGGTTTTCGGAGGATTAGGGGGAATTTCATGAGCCAGAAATACCATTTAGCAAATCCAGAAAGGTGCTGGAAAGTATTCTGAATGCTTATGTGAAGTATTTAGCTTGACAGTTAGAAGCTGGAATAAGAGGTTGTCGCATCTGGGCCAACCAAACTACAACTGCTTGCATTCATGGAATTCATGCATTAATAGCTTCAATATTGCAGTTTGGATTAACAAAACACTTCAGTAAGTGACATTATTTGACAACTCCATAAGAGTTTTTTTGGAGAAAGACAAGCAGACTGGAACAGAGAAAAGGTTGGATACATATAAAAAGGGATAAATGTAACTCAGTGTGGTCTGGTACAAGTCTGACGGCCTGTGTTTAGGGCAGGCCAGGAAGACAGATTGAAGGAAAAGATGAGAATGACTGGAAGGAATGTTAATTTGATAGTCTGGACTTTGGTTAAGGGTATACGTGTCTGGTACTGCCAAAAAGTTAGGCAGGGTTAACAAGCATTTGGAATGCACAGAATATATTTGAAATAAAAGACCGTAACAGTGAGGTGACGGTCTTAAGCATGTAGATTAAGAACTGCTCATTTGAGAATGTGAGCATCTGTACAAGTATGTTGGGATCTTGTTCTGGGGCAACCAGTGATTATCTCATGCCATCATCAATCAGCAGCATGTTTCTTCCTCTTTTTTTTCCTGACAAGAAAGTCATTTTGCTTTAAATAGAACTATTGGCACTGATTTGGTCACAGGAGCCAGATGTCTGCAGCAAAAAATATTTGTGATATGTTATAAGGAGTTGCCATAAATCTCATAGCAATGAATGGCTGGCATATATGCTGTAGCAGGTTGCAGGCTAGGACACAGCTCACATGCTGCATGCCTACTGTAGCAGCAGGCATGCTATCTATTGCTGCAGCCAGCAGAGGCACAGGAAAGACGAGTGTCAAGTCTGAAACCTAGGCTGTCTGGAGACATTTGGTTTGATTCACACATTTGTTTATGTGCGATAAGTTCAGTGCAGAATGTGTGAACAAAGGTTAACCTGGCATACCTAACTGAATCACACTTCAATAACAATCCTGACAGGTCACCCTATGGCAAAAGATGTACAAAAACAGAACACTGACCTGTTTTCAGTCAATGCGAAAGAAACACCTAAATTCATACTTACAATAATACAAATAGCTACTTACAGCCCGTGTCTTTGAGTCTGTTAATGGCATTGGACAGGAGGCGTACACAGCCCAGGAAACCCGCGCCCTGCTTTTTGTGGATCTTCTTGTGGTTCCATACACTGATGGTTATGGAGTCGGACTTTCCAATGTATCTGATGGGGTGAGAGAAAGAAAGTGAAAAAAAAACAGGTCAATAAAATAGAAACGATGAGTAATAACAAAGCTTTTAAGTCTTGACACTGTACTTGGAAAAAAAAGTTCCAAGACATGTGTGCTTAGAGGCTCAACCCTTAAGAAGAGTGATATGAAATTGAATGAACTCACAAGTTAAAATAACCCTGCGCTCCAGAGATTTCCTAAAAATTATTACAGTTACTAAAAACTAAGCCAAAAAGAAGAAACACAAAACCATAACCTTCCATTTTACATGTACTTCTCTCTGAACCTGTCACAGAGTTTTAGATGTACACTTTGTAATGAGGCTGATTAGTGCATCACATTTAAAAGTAACTTCTGTCCCTGTGTGTGTGCGTGTGCGTGTGTAGAATCAGCACCGCTGAGGCCAGTCTAGTCGTGGTTTAAGGAACAGAGGAAGTCCCCGCGATGTGCTTCACCGCTGTCTGAGGCTTAGACAGCTCTTACAGTAAACACAATATTCAAATGCACAATCTCACATTCACTAACACACACGTAATTACAGTCTAGCAGCTGTTTTGCTATTATGCTTCATCGCAGTGGCATGGAGGGGATTTTCCTGCTCAACACATCAAAACATATAGGTTTGGTATAAAAGCCAAAACAAGGATGTTGGTAAAATGATAAGATATTCTTATGACCAGAATCCAGTAGCACATTGGCACACCGTTTGCTTCCCAGTAAATATTAACGTGTGGTTCACTGCGCATGTTTGTTAAAATCTCACTCTAATACTTTAACACCATTTGATGGCAAATTGATGAACGAATAGACCATTTTCTTTGCCACAAAGCATCAATTAAGCTCCAGTTTTTTAACATAAAGAAGAGTTAATTATACAGCATATTTGCCAGGGTGTTGATATTGACACAAAATGATTAGGATCATTAAATTTTCGGTTCTTTAGTTCCTGCTTTTTGTGTGCTGGGGTAAAAAGAAACCATACTTTTTTTATGTTTTCTTTCTACACAGTGTGGTTTACATTAAACAGGTCTCTGATGCGGAGGTATGCTGTGCAAAGCACCACCTCAAGGCAACAGATTTAGAAGAGAGGGAAAAAAAAGCTAAATTGCTGACAAGACTATGAAAGAGTGTCGCAAGATAAGAGAAGTTGAAAAAGTCATTTCCTGACTCACAAAAACATACTGACATAACACTTCAAACAATCTCGAATTTAGCAACAGTGAGGCACTGTCTGATGGTAGTCTGTCTGATGAAAGTTGAGTAAACTTTGCAGGACGGTTTATGACTTGAAATGCTGAAATGACACATCTCTAAAGTGTGAATTAACCAAGGCTTCCTGTTTTCAATAGATGATTCCTGGGACAGATGGGATGTGAAAACAAGTGCAGGCCCCTAAAGTTCTCGCTGAAAATCCTTGAATTTTTTCCAAAATCTATCTTCATCAATTATTTCTTATTGCTCAAAAGAAAATTGTCTTTATGTTGCTATGCTAACTTCTTTCCCGTAACTCTTCATCTCTTTCATGAATTCAAAACAAACGATGATGATAACATGGAAAAAATACAGAAACTTAAAATGTAAAGAGCATAGAGGATCAATAAGGATTCAGCCCTTGTTTTTGTCACAAATTTTTATTAACAATTTATAAAATCAATAAAATTCTTAACTTGTTGGAGATGACTGACTCGGCATTGTGATCGTCCAATCACATTCTGTGTAAACACAGCCTCAAAAGACGATCTTCAGCTGAACTTTAACACACAGTGTGAAAATGTTGTGTTTTGAACAGTTTTTTTTTTTTCTGTTCTCATCTGTACGAAAAGCACTTTGGCTCAATGTACTGATCACTACAGATAAAAATGAGATACAAACTTTATTGTCAAAACCCAAGTTTAAAGGGTAATTCTACAAAAACGAAAAGTATTTAAGGAGAAACACGGTTAAATATGCACAGTTTATTACTGTGTTAGGAAACCCTCCCAGAAACCTTTATTTTTGCTCGAATTCTTTGGTTTATTTACGCACTGAGCACTGTGTATCTGACATCATTCTCAATAAGTCACACAGATGCTAGCACGCGCATAACACATGAAGTTAATCTAGAGGTCTGAGGCGCCTTCGTCATGTTTTTAGGAAAAAATAAAAAAGCTTACTGGCCTAAATTTGGGACAATACTCTGTGTGTGTCTCTCTCATCCACATACACATTTATGGAAAGAAAAATACAAGGATATTAGCCACAGCAGCAGCAAAATTAGCACTTTTTTATTAAACTATAGGCAGGTAAATTTGATGTAGAGGTAATGCCTGTGTCATGCGATCTATATTGAGGAGAGTTGGGTTGACAACTACTACCAATATATTATTGATCTGGATGTCAACAAATGCCAGAAGGAATCAACGCTAATGGCATCTATGTGTTCAACACTTTACACATCCTAATTGAACAAGATTTGATTTGTTCCCAGTGATAAAGACGGCTGAATTACATAAGGCTGTACAACACAACATGTACAGAATTTAACGTCTCTTGGGGAAAGGCAGAGGGAGCAGCAAGCAAACCCAATACTCCCAACTAAAGTAATGTGAAGACTTGTACTGAAAAGCCTAGAAATAAGAGGCCAAGCATGAAAAGACAACCTGCCAAAACAAGACCTGCATACTGCAGAGTTCATAAACTTTCAACACTTACTAGATTTTTTTTTTTGTGTCCTCAAATATCTTCTGTGCAGGACACCAAGGTGAATTATAGTGTGTAAATTGTAGTCTAAAAAAGCAAATAATTATTTTAGTGTATTTACAATAACAAGGCCCCTGTCAGGACCAGTGTCATGCTGAAAAAGACTCCACCTCCTAAAGCTAGAGGCTGAGGTTGGGGGTGTGGTGAGCTGGCGATCTGCCAAGCCCACACTCCCATTTGCTTTCTGTGGCATGTTAGCCATTTCCTGAACCAGAGGAAGAGGCCAGGGGTCGCGGGTGGGGAATACACCTTCTCTGAGACGGTGGGGAAACAGAGAGGGGAGGAGAATTATGTAAACGGAGGGAACCTGAGGTCATTGTTGACAGAGCAAAAATATTCGAATTGTCCATCTGTAGAGAAATGAGAAACCCTCACACATGCATGTTCACCGAAAGTGTATTTACTTTAACATTTGCATTAATTTAAGGCTGTGTGCACGATTAATATTTCTATTATTATAAATTACTGTTATTCATTACATAAAAAGTAACTCGCACACTTCGATGCTGTTGAAAAGAAGCAAACATAGAGACAACTGTCAGAATCGAAGAAGCTGTGACGGCAAAAAACGAGGATGAACTAAACCAATTGCTAGACCGTGAGCCAACATACCAATTGTGATACATATTTTCACCCTGTAACTTGACACCGTCTTTCTTTTGGACTTCATGTGTGCATCTATTTCTTCATGACTCATTCTTCAGGCCCCTTATTTCCTCTCATTTTCTTCAGTTACCACAGTTTCATCTCTTCATCTCTCACCAGTGCATAGGCTTAATCAAAAGTGGGGTTTACTGTGATCAGTTCTTGAAATGGCCTGTCGACACAATCCTCGGTAGAGATTAACATTCAGAGTGCACAGCCCCAGTGAAATCAATATCTGAGACCACAGAAAAGATGATGAACACATTATTTTATACTTGATCTGAAACCGTAACAAACAGAAGGTTTTTTTAAACATTGGGGACAGAAAGAAAACGAAAGGAGCCCGCCCTTGTTGAAGGAGCAGGTTTCAAGATTTAAGTTGCATAGTGTTACAAAGGCTGATGATATGTGGCTAATCCTAAAAGAGATTAAAATAAAGTAGAGCTTTAAATGTGTGCGATCCACATTTAGTTGAGACAAAGCTAGCTTGCCAAAAAAAGTCCTCAGATTCACACAGAAGACCTTTCTGGAGTTATTTCCACAAATGCTCCGGAAGTAGACATAACCTGTTACTTTAGAGCACCATATCAATACAAGTTGGCTCCCTCCACATAAAATGTAATGAAAATACCTTTTGTGAGGCCTGTGGTATGGAACGCCTGAAATGTTACGCTACAGGTTTTGTTTTCATGTAATTGATCAGGTTGGTTTGTTTTTTTAACAGGGGAAAGATACAAATCAATCTACCTTCCTTCCACACAAAGACATGTGAGTGAGCAAAATCAGTACACTACATTCCTTCCTTCTATGTTTCTTTTGACCATTTTGAATTTGATTGATGGTAAACGCACACTTTTACAGCATTTGTTTCTTAATTAGCCACAAAGAGTAAGCAGCAATCTGGCACACGGCTTCTCCTGTTGACTTACAGATCATAATGTTGATTCCATTTTGGGTCCAGCGTATTTCTCACAGTATCTGTAGAGTGGCATTGTCCTGAACCATCCACCACCACTTTGGCAAAGGGATCTGGCAACCCTGTAAAAGTGGACAAACATTTTGTTTAACCTTTGTACAAACCCTGTGGGTACACCAATCATGGAGGCACTAGAGGTGACACAGTTTTTAACCCTTATTTTTGTCACTCCTTTGAGACTGCAGTGACAAGTTTATCTGGTTGTCCTCATTTACAGACAGTCAGGTTGACAGCTACACCACTACTTTGTGAGAGTTCCTCTTAAAATTACATGTTGATTTTCTCTGCATCCCCCCCCCCTGCTTTTTAACCGTAATAATAATCTGCTGTAGTCCATAAACATTACATTTTTCCCCATATGATGATAATATCCCTGCAGTGTCTGACTAAAACTAAACTCAGGTTCATCTGAAGGTCATGAAACCAGCAGAGACAGGAGGATGGATACATGTGTTGCTGTGTAAGCTTGTGGGTAAATATATGGACACTATAAAGAAAGTTATTAGTCTAATCAAGCGTCTTGTTTTGTACGTTTTGGTTAGCTTCCTATTTCATGTTATAACTGATAATACACCTATTAAACAGGTATTTGATAAGTTAAAATACTAACTTTAACGCTCTTTATCTTATGTTTAAGATGAAGGATTGTAAGAAAGTACAATTAAAATCTTCTCACGGGCTATTGTATTTTGTGAAACATTTACACAACACATGGAACATATGAAGCAATATGCAGAAAAACTTTACAACAAGTCTGTTCACAGTATCTCACTCATTTGGAAATCTGATAAGGGATTCTTCATGGTGTATTTATCTTAGGGTCCCTGTCTAGGTCTGTGCATGCATGTGTATGTTTTTTTAAACTGCCGAGGTATGAAACTCTGAGCGCAGACACTTTACACAAGATAAACTTGTTTAGTCACTCAGTGGTGTCTTGGAATTTCCTTTGTTGTGGTTGTGCATTTGTGTATATACATAAGAGCTTTTTTTTTTTTTTTTTTTAAGACAAAAATGAAGTACAAGCTGCTTTTGGCAGTTCAGTGCTTTCAGAGAAACCATAATTTCCAACTGAAGTAAAAACAGTGCATTTCTTGGCTGTATACTTTGGCAGCGTTTCTGCAGTGCAGTGTACTGCAAGCCCAGTGGCCGGCTGAGTCTGAGTCAACGCCAGGCCTGGCCAAAGCACTGGGCAATTTATTTTTAAATATATTTTTAAGTTGTTTTTCCCCTTTTTTTAATAAACATAAACTGAGCTGTTAGAGCTAATGTAAGGTATGTTTTAATCCTACTTTTACATTGCAAATTTTTAACTATAACAGCTGGAAACCAAAAAGGTTTTAAAACAATTTTTTTGTAGTCGTTTACTTGATGATTTTGGATTTAAATTCAATAATTAAGGTATGTAAACCTTTGAGGGTAGTTAACCAATGAGTTTAAGTTTTAATTAAAACAAACAAACAAACAAACAAGCTAAGTATAAACTCCGTCCTTGCATGCTCTTAAACTAAACTGTAAATGTAACCACTAAATCTAGTACTATTATTATTTACAGTATTTCATGGGTTTGACTAAAATAGCGATATCCATCCTGTCCAATTAAAGTCTTTTAGTTTGGTTTTTATGTGCCAGTGAGCCACATTCCTATTACCAGAATTTGGGTTAGCATTGGGTCCTAGTGTGTACCAGGGCTCCTGTTGTGTTTAATAGACAGATGGCTCCTAAGGGACGTCTTTTACAGTTTTCCCAGTTTTACTTCAAAATGCTGCAACTGCAAGCCACCACTGCTGACAAAGCATTCTAATGTACAAGAGAGGAAACAGGACAGGAATAGCATCTTATAAATAAAAATAGTTTTTACTTACGAAAGAAGTCTTTCTTTGCCAGGTTCTTTGCACACAGAACTGGGGAAAAAAAAGAAACAGATATTGTGTTCTTTTACCTTTTTTTTTTTGCCAACAAACGCAAAAAAACCAAAACAAAAAACAAAGTGATTCAGATATATTTGCCACAATAATTTTGAAACAGCATTCCAACAATATTCGGTATCATTTAAAAAATTCTTTCCTTATTTTTTTATATTTAGCCATATTTAAAGATATAATGGCCACAAATATGTTTCATATATGTCAAAAAGCTATTATAAAAAACACAATATACATAATGTATAAATGCTTGACATCTTAAATTATAACTTTCTCTCTCTAATTTTAGTAGATTTTCATTAATTATTTTTTAAGTTTCTAAGGCTGAATAGGTACTACTCTCTTTTGGCCTACATCTTGGTTTGTCCATTTTCACAGTCCCTCACAGGCTGAGACACTTGTTAAGAGTTTCTCACTGTAAAATATTGAACAGACAAGCTCTTTTTCTTGTAGCAAGCAAGTCTATGGGGGTTTGCAACACGAACTGCATACACTAGCTTTCAAAAGAAACAAGAGGGATACTAAAAGTATGTCCATGCTTGGCTATGGTTATACCCTTTAAGATGTTTTTTTAATTCTTAATTTTCCTACTCCTAAATATTTTGTACTACATGCTATAGAATATAAGTGAAATTAAGCTCTGTCTGTAACTGGCTGGACAATCTTATGATGCTTACAGAGTAAGACAAAATAAGCCAAGCATAGAAGGAAAAGAGGGGAAAAAAAGAAGAAAAAAAACGAGCGGTGGCAGAGAAAACTTGCACAATGAATGTTTAGAAAAAAACAACAGTGAAAAGGTGAAAGATGCAAAAGGAAGTTAATAAGCACCCTTCACTGCCAGCAGACAGACCAAGATCCCTATCACAAAAAGGCACTAAAGAAACACACACTATTCAGTCTCTCTGCTTTTAGCCATCCATGTATTTTAATATTCACTGCTTTCTATTCATGGTCCTGGGCAAGCCCTGCCAATACATTACTAATACAGGTACAGGTAACTTCTCTCTTTCCAAATAGCTTCACTGAGTTTTAGTCTTTGAGCAAGAAAGCAAACACCACAGTTAATCTAGAACAACTTAAACAGGAGGTAGTGCAAATCTGCTGAGCCCAAGGCAGCTCAATGAGCTGTAAAGGTATAACATCTGCTTACAAACACAAGTCTCATCTTTTGCTGCATATAAGCTTTCCTTGTCTCGAAATAAAAAGAAGAAACCCAAAAAACAGAATTGATTGTAAGCCATGCCCCCTTTCTGTTTTCTTAGCCTCAACTGAGAACTTTAATTTCTGATGAGTCCAAAAGGTAAGTTTCCGGTAGAGGAGCTGTTGTGTAATGCTTAACCGGCACCTACTTGCAGCAGAAAACAGGACGATAGCTATACTATACACAGCGTAGGTTAAAAGCTGCCATTGATCAGACGTTTCAAGCTTCAAAGTTGTATTGTCATATGCACAATAAAGAAACATGTTTCCCCGTGCAAAGAAATTCTCTTTGCCCTCCACAACAAATGCCAAACAAAAACACACACATATAAAAGCTATAGTATAAACAATAACTAAGACATACAAAAACTATTCTGGAAACTCCATATTAGAAATATAGTACAGACTATGAAAAAATATATATAACTATACAAATGCAGCAATAGACTATATACCTAGGCACTATGGATAAAGGCATTATAAAGCAATTATAAAGCAACTCAGACTGCCTACTGCATACATCATTTACTATTTGATTCAGTACAGCAAATAAACAGTTTCTTATGCATTTGTCAAACTAGAAGTTTTCAAACGCATTAAGACAAGCCAAAACAGTGGGCATCTATTGTGTACATGGATTATATAACAGATTGCGTGTGTGTGTGTGTGAGAAACTGCCACTAATGAGCACTACTTCCGATAAAGATATGAGGCCGACTTGAGAAACAAACCTAGCATTACAGCCATTGCATGTGGAGACTTTGACAGTGACCAAAATGATACAGTCAATCAAATCAGAATCACAGCACAGGAACAGACAATCTCAACACAAACCAAACTGCGTTGACTGGATGAACACTAACCATCCACTTGTCAGGGGAAAATACACAGCCAAAGCCAACAGGTGCAGGCCAAATCAGAAGCAGCCAAAATAACCTCGCATGGGACAAAATGGACACGGTTATGTTGGCCAACAAGTGAAAAACAAGAGGTCTGAAATCTTGGCAGGACATATGTGAATAGATGCTACAACTGAAAGACTAAATACTGCAACAACAAAAAACAAAAACCCTCCAGAATGATCAGGATAGGCATGAAACCCATGCTTCAGGGTATTTGTAGAACTCTATAATGCAGATGTATTTCAAGGTGTTAGCAGTACAAACTTGGTCAGAAAGCTCATTTGCTCTTCTGCTTTGAAATTCTTGCCTGCTAAATACAATTAACATAGTCAATCCAAAATGAGTAACTGAGTAAAAGCTTTGATCATTCTGTCCACAAAAACAAAAACAAAAAGTCTTTAGTTTGTTCCTGATTATAGGGCACAATTTGCTGTGGTTATTCACAACAACTGAAGCTTTTAATAATAAATATTTATTATTAAAAGTCATAGGCATCACCTCTATCCCATTTATTTGCTCTTATGTAGGCTTTATCAATTGTATCTCTATATATCTCTATCTCTATCTATAGATATATATCTATATATCTAGATCTATATCTCTATATCTCTATCTATAGATATCTATAGATATATAGTTGTTATATTCTATATAACACATATTCTGAAGTGAATTCATAAGTGAATTTCAAATATATCATTACGCAAACTGGAGACAGGTTGTCATTTAGAGGTCAGGAGCCAGGCTGGTAACCTCAACAAAATCTGGAGTGTAGACCCGACAGCAGTGTGCGCTCACCAGTGCTGAAGAGGCAGCACAGATTAGTAGCTAGCAGGTTAAATTGGGTGCACTTGGCTCTTAAGTTACCAAACTGTGTTAGTGAAAATTAAGGGATTAATCTGCACACTGCTCCACTGTCTCAGCCATAATTACGACAGGGCGAAAATCCTCTTTCTTGTTATCAATGGCCTCTCACTAACTGTGCTGCCAGGCACATCAGAATAAAGCTACTGATAGTGCTTAATATGTTCAAGGGGGTGTAACTTGCACAACAAATCAATAATCAGTGAAATAAGACAAACACAAGATCTAAGAGGGATAGAAAAAATTACTGCAGGTAACTATGTTACTGGTGATTTTCTAAATTTGTGCTGTAAGATCATGGGAGGGAACAAGACAATATTAAAAGTGACATTTCATGAAACAAATAGTTCTGGACTGTAACCCATATGGACATGTGAGTTTGTACCAAGTGCTTTTTAGAGAAAAGATCTTCATTATTGATGAGCTAATGAACTTCTCACCCTTCAAATCAGGGAGAAAGCATCCTCCTCCAATTAGCTTCTTCAGGAGAACTGAGATCCAAAAAACCCCAAAACAATTACAGCAAAAGCAAACTAAAAAGAAATGACTAAAAGCACCAGAACACATAAAATAAAATTGTGACTTAACTGGCACCAAACATGACTTTAGGTACATTTTGTATTCATCATAATGCTCTTAGAAAACATGAATTTGGCACAATCTTAATATGGACTAAATACAATATAACAAAAATTAATTTTCAATAACGCTGTCTCACATAAACGGGACTTTGTACAACTAAAAGAAAAGATTTAAAAAAAAAAAACACACACACACACGAAGCTCCTATTTGAGCTTTTATTCAGCTTTTATTACTACTACCCCAGATCAGATTTCTATATCAATTTACAGCCTTCCCATAAGGATTTAGAAAATATGCCGAAATATTTTTATAACCTTATCTACACATATGCACACTCTTCCACTGTGAACTACAATCACCAATGAGTCAAATCTCACACTGTGCCCTCTAGGGATCCGACAGTGTTAAATAGCTGCCACGTGAGCAGGCAAGCCATGGCTGGCAGGAGACCAGACTCATTCAGATCCTAACACAGAAAGCTAGGTCAACTAGGAAACAGTAAACCACCAAGAAGCCCTGGGGTGAGGCTGTCCTTTGTGTTGTCTATGGGTCATCATCCCAACCATAAAACCTAATTTTAAAAGCAAGGGGAAAGATAATAAGTCTGACTGAATACTTGCGCAGTCACAAATGACAACCACTAACTGTCATTTTCTCTCTATTGTTTAATGAAAGAATTTCAGAATTCCTGGTATTTTAGATGTATGATTTTCAGCACATCTCCTGTTTTAATAATTCTGTTTAGCTGCTGATGTTATACCAAGATTTCTCACAATTCACTTAACCTTAAATACAGGTTACAGTTGTAGACATTCTTGGTAGGTAATCTTAAGACTGGAAATACTAACGGTACATACTAAAACAATAAATAATAATCCCTATAGCTATTTTGATTGCTCTCTTTTCCTAGTCTTGCAATAACATGAAGTTTTGATGATTAACTTACATCAAAAATCAGTTCAGTTAAAAACCTCAAGAGATTTGCATCTATTTTCACACTTTTCACTGCAGTGTTTGAATAATCAACTTTAAACATGGATAGCCAATATATTCCACAGTATTTTTGTTAAAAATCATAGTCACATGCTGTGCTTGAAAAAATACTTTTAATAATACAGATTCTTGGGGAAAAGATAAATAAATAAATAAATAAATAGCTTCCTCCTAACATAGTCCTCTGACCACCCAATATTGCTCTCATCTTAAACAAAGCTGTGGTAGCAGTTAAAAGTTCAAAATGGGGTCAACTCTACTCCATTGCTTATTCAAAATGATTTAAAGGAGCAGCTGCTGTTTTGGGATAATTTGCAAGTGGATCACCACATTACACAGGCTAAAATAAGCCAGTGAAACAGCTACCCCAAACCAAACTTACCCATCTAAGCAATTAACATAGAAGGATAATGTTTTTACCACTGTCTGGTAGATAA